CCGACGGTTTCTAAAATGCGATTTTAGTTCGATTTTTCGATTTGGCGATTTTTGCTTACAGCCCTATAAAAAATTAACTAGAAAAGAAGTCCAAAAAGTGTATAATCAAATACCCTCAAATTTAAAACTATTGTTCATCCCGAACAAGATTATCCATTAATACACAATCATCCAAATTAAAATACGACATTAAATAACTTTGTCACTAGCATCAAGTATTGAAACCGTTTGATAATTAATAAAAATTTAATAAGTAATGCAACTAAAACTAATCTTTTACTTATTCTATGCTAGATCGATGTGCGGGTGCGCGCACATAATCAACCAGATCATCATGAATTTTTACGTTGGTTATTTCTCGATCCTTAATAGTTAAATATTTTCTTTTTCTCTCGTGGTATGTACATCCCAAATTTTTTTTTTATCCACATACCCTGGGTGTATATATATTCCAAGGTTGATTACTTAACATGCTTTCCTTTCCTACTTTGGTTAGATTTCATCAATTAAAGTCATTACCTCGATACATGATGATTCTTCTTAAAATTTGAATGTATCAACCTCCAAAATTCAACTAGGATAATGCCCCACACCAGAAGTCTAAATTTCAAATTAAGAATTCAATGCTTGGTCGGACAAAAATAGTGCCTACAATTGTTTTGTTACTACCTCAACACACTCTCGTGTATTTTTTTTTTTTTTTGTTTTTTTTCATTGTGTCCTTTCTTATGTTTTTAAAATCATTTCTATGGATTTCAAATGCAATTTTCACTTTATATTGTAGGTATCACTCTTTCTCGTTAGTTCATCTCTTAAACATTGGTTATGAATATGTCGAATTATTCAAGGCTAGCTTCCCACAACAATGTATGTAACTTTTTACGACATGCCAAAACTAGTTCGTGCCTTTTATTTTTATGGATAATTAATTGAAATTAAAATCCTAGTATATGGTTACCACCTAGATTATACTTAGAGTATTTTCAATAGACTCTCTATTTTTAAAGAGCATATTCTATCATTTGGAGAACACCTATAAATTTAGAGAGTTAAAATTTTGAAATACTCAAACAAACTTTTTATATTTAACACTTA